CTCTGAGCCAGCCCCAGGGCTGCCACAGAGGAGTTCCCTTGCGCAGGGCTACCAAATGGACAGAGATGGGGGTGAGGGTGCGGGGTATCGAAGTACCCCTAAAGTGATAAGTGCAGTTAGGTTGCCAAACACCTGAATTTTGATCACCATAACTTTGAGGGTCCGGCGTAAGTACTGTTTGTTCTGCACCATTACTTTGAATGGTTGTTGAACGAATGGTCATTAAGCAAGGAGTACTTATAATATATAATCTATCACACTGAATCATTTTTAGTATGATTCAAAGGCAAAGAGATGTTTTGGGGCACTTGGAAATGCTCCTATAGCACTTGCCTGCAATTCCTTAAAGCAGTTACCGTACATCTTTTCTTGAGGTGGCAGGTGACACAGCTACTGCTCATAGCTACAAAGAAAAGACAAGTGTTTTTTTGAAGGAGTTGTACACAAGTGTGAACTCAAATCCTCAGAAGACCTTTTGCCTTTGCATCTCAGGCTCTGCATATCTTTATATCAATATTTATATTGCTCAGGAGGGAAAAAGAATCCATGCCTTCTTTGCGCAAGTTCAGCAATACTTGATAAAATCGTTATTTTGAAAACTAAATTCAGAATCTAAACCACAGAACAAGCCATGTAAAGAAGAGAGGGGTTTCAAAAATACTTTTACTATAATGAGAACTCATCTATTTGAAATAAAATAAAATAAAAGTCCACTGAACTAGCACAGAAATTAAGTTTACGCAGCTCTCTGGATTGCTATTGAGGTCTTAATTAGACATCCAGAAATGAGGACTTGTAAGCAAAGCAGGTTTTTTTCCCTCGTGAGATACAAAGTTAATGCTCCTGGTTGACCAACACAAATGTTATTTTGTAATCAAAATAGGATATATTTGGACCCGCAATTTTGCCTAGAGTTGTAGTGTTTGATGATGATGAATTGTGTTTTGAAAGGGTGGTCATTTGAACAATGGGACTTCCTTTCTCCTCATTTTCCTGCAGACCTCCATTCTCTCCCCCCCCCCCCCAATCTCTTACACAGAAGGAAAAGAAATTGCCATGTTCTCTTGGTGGAGGCCATTCCTGTGTACAACTATTCTTAGCTGTGAAATTGCTTATCCGGAGCAATATAAATTCCTTAAGCATGGTCTTGTTAGTCGATTTTTAGTGTTTCTCTCATTCCTGTATGTTATAAAATGCTGATTGGGCTTTTTTATTACTATATATTAATGTATTGTTGTCAGTTTTTTCCCAAGCTACCGATAATTCTCACAAATCCTTGTAACATTATGATAGTACTATTATTCACAGGGTCTGGGATAATTTGTCTAGACAAAGCTTTCCTAAGTTCAGTATGGTCATTAAAAATATTGCTGTTACAACTTCTTTGTCTGATTTTTTTCTAAGTAATAAATTTGTCAAGTGTGGGTTTGATCTCAAGTATCATTCTGCTTCTTATTGTAGAGTGTTTGAATAAGTTGTCCTTTATTGACTTGTCCTCTTAAAAAAGCCACCGAGCCATCTTTTGTAATCTCTTGGGCTAATGAAAACATGCTTGCTTTATCTTTCCAGTACATTCTTATTCTTGCAGCTTTTTAAAGAAAATACTCATTCTTTCGATATGCCTTATTTGGAGAACAAAATATTTCTTTGGTTGCCAAAGTAATTTAATAGTGCTGCAATTTAATAGCAAGTAATATTTAATTTGGAGGCATTCAGTAGGGCTGTAAATTCCTTTGAAGTATGTGTACGGTATGTTAAATTGTGTAACTTGTTGAAGTCTTGCAGTTAGAAGAAGAAATTAGATTTGAGTTTCAATCAAGAGAAAGTGATAATTTCATCACTTTGTAATACATTCATATATATAAATTGTTTATGGTTTCTTTGGTGTGTTTTGTATCTACTGCACACATATTTTAGCAAGATTATAATATGCATTTTGTGTGTAAAATTACAGATATTACAAAAGTCTCACAAGTCCCTTAAGTTTGGGCATTTGCACAGTACTCTGCTATGATTTTATTCAATTGCAGTTCTCTGGTAATTGGGATCACAATTTCTGTTGATAAGCTATGTGGTTGTAAAGCACAATGTCATGTGACCCTGCCACTTAGTAATGGCAGTTCCAGCGATCCCCAGTTACCACTGTTAAGTGAGGACCATGCAGGTCATTATAAGCAAAAACCTCATGTGACTGCAACTCCCAACTTTCTGCCAGCTTTTTCCCATTGATTTTGTTTGTGGGAAACTGACACGGAACATCATGAATTACAATCACATGACCAGGGGACACTGCAACAGTTGGAAATCTGGGCCAGTTGCCAAGTGCTTAGAGCGTGATTGTGTGACTGTAGTGATTCTGCACTGGCCAGAACTTTGAGGACTGGTATGTTAGGTGAAAGAAACCAGGAACAGGAGTTGAGTTCAAAGCACTAAAAGGTTAATACATGCAGCTTATACACAAGAATCTGATTACTAATGGTCAAGCCAAATTGGCACTAGATAAGGGTCAACGGAATTCATAAGGAGCTGGACTTAGGTCTCTTGTGGGAAAGCAACAACTCTAAACTAATGATGTGTTTAACCCCACCCTTAGGCTCAGCCTGTTCATCTCCTACGTGGCCATAACTACCACTTGTTCAAGCACTGTCACAAGTTTAAATGGTTACTGAGTGAGTGGCTGTTAAATGAGGAACACTTGTACTTGTTAAATTACATGTGGATCTTCTATCCTGATAGAACTATGGATCCATGTGTGTCCATTGCCTTCATCATAGGCTCATATGAAAGAGTTTGATAGAAATCTCAGTAGTTAGAACAGTGGATGGCTATTTTAAGGAGAAAGATAAAAACTTTACCTTCACAGGCATTTCTTTACATGGGGGTTGTGCTGTGAAAATGTCAATGTCATATACATATTCTATGAAATAATATGTGAGAGAGAAAGATGTTGGCTGGATAAGTGAGAAATAGATATGGGCCTGTTTCATAAGAGTCCTGTAGTTATGGAATATATCTTAACTTGTGGGATTCATCAAACTCTATCTCTACCATTTATTTATGCAAGTTTTTTCTGGACTTTGTAGTTATTCTAGCGTTTTGGAAAAGTATTTTGATCTTTGTAGTAGTTGGCCTCAATGTAACTTACATTACAACTCAACTTTTATTTCATGCCAACAGATGGCAGTACCTCCCCAGCTGTGTCTAATTTTAGAAGCTAAACTATGTTGGCCATGTTTGGTTGGGGGACCACTTGAAACCACAGGACTATAGGCTAAACATCCTGGAAGAAGGCGTGGCAAACAACATCCATTCTAAAACTGCATGTATGACATTGCCAAAAGTTGACTATAACTCAAAGGAGACCTCATCTTTTTAGTGATTCTAATTAATCAAGCTCAATATGAGCAATCTTGCTTTTTTCTGAACCAGTTCTGTTTGCAAGAAACCACTATTGTCCTGTGAGACTTCTGTTAGCAAGGCAGGATAAAATGCTACCAGCTATGGATTAAGATTTTTTTTAAAAGTTTCCTGGAAGAAAACAGCAACAATACTCCAACCCCAATTGATTCTCGTGTGTATAAAATGAAAGGACTTTGTTGGGTAGCCTAGCAATATTTTAAATAATCAAAATAAATAATACAGTCACATTTTGGAATGATTTATTAGAGAAAGTAAACATATTACATATTGCTATTGTTTCGATAAAAAATATGCTGGAATTGCACTAGAGGGCAACATACAACAACACTACAATGTCTGAAAATTCAGGCTTCTAACTTTCAGTTTCTCCCTCATAAGTAGAGCTACCTTTTCCTGTATTTTTATATAAATGAAGTTAATTTTAATGTGTGTCATTGTGTATACAGGAAAATGACAATAAAGATTATCTTAATCTTAATTATTTGCACATTATTGATAAGAATGAGTTTATTTGTAGAACTATGATTTATTGGTATATCTTATTTGGTTGTTTATTGGATTTGTGAGATGCTAATAAAAAACATTGAAGATAAAATAACACAATCACAATAATGATCACACTGTACCCATGTTGCCTTAATAAATTAATATGTCATAATATAACAAATACATCTGTAACCGATCCAACATTCCTTACAAGTAAGATGATACATTCATAATATTGGAGTTAGAAAGAGCTTTTTTCCACTTTTAAATTGGCATTTCATTACTTTTTCTGTGAAGTATTGAAAAAAATCTCAGTAGAATAATTTTCTTTAGTATGGGTACCCACCAGATGTATAGGCTTCAAGCCCCAGAATTCTCTACGTGGCTATGCTGGTGGGAATTTCCGAGAAGATCTACCCATTGGGACAGCACCCACCCAGGAGAAAAGCAGCAATGAGATGATTTGATGAATGCAACTAAATTGTTCATTTGAACACATCTTCAGGGTATTATTGAAAATCACATCGTAGAATTACCATTATATAGTCTTATTACCGTTATATTATATTACCATTTCTAGGAATGTTGTTCTTTACTCTTTGGACATTATTATTTTCATTTGATTGTTTCTTGGTTTTCACCTTCCAAAGTCACATTTGCAAAACGGATGGCTATACAAATCAATATAATCTGATCTGCACAAATCCACATAAGTGCTAGATTTTCATCTAGCTAAGGATTACTATTTCTGTATTTATTTCTTTATTGTGAACTTGCTGTCATCCAGAGTTTGTAAGCCAAGTATAGTTGTCTTGTTATACTGTCATACCGAATGATACTAATTACATAGTACAGGCTGCATTGGATTAACAGGTTGGAATAGAATACTTTAATGGACTAGTTAAGTGATGAACTTTCATCTGATTTATTAATTAGTTGCTACTTTATTATTGGTACTCCTTTATTACTACCTTAATTTGGAGTATTTTTTCATAGATGAAAGTAAAAGCTTTTTATTGTGATATATATACTTGAATAAGAAATGGCAATTTTCTGTATTCCATTATTAGAAAGAGTCTTTTTTTTCTCTGTAGGCACCACCCTCCATGGTCAATAACGAACAACGTCAGCACGCCGAACACATTTTTTTATCGTTTAGAAAATCAAAATCGCCGTTTGCAGTTTGCAAACATATTTTAGGTAAGTCCTATTTTTCAATCAGTGTACCATTAATTCATAATCATATAACTTTGTAAAACAGGCTAAGGATATATGCGTAAAATACTGTTTTCTCTAGCAGTGTCGATGTGGATTTAGAGATTCACATATTAAGCATTGTTAACTTGAAAATAACCCTTATTGATCTTAATAAGTCTTGGTTTTATATAAATATGGCTAAGATGTTTGATTTAAATGTACAAATACAGCTGATTCCAGAAACTGTAACCTTACACCATATTAAGAGTTATGACACTTAATTTATACTTTCCTGTGGCAGCTACCATGATTTAAAATACTGCTTGCCTTCTTTTCCATGAATCAAGCACAAAGTGTTTTGCAGTATTTAAAAGATCATCACAAAACCAAACTGGAGAGATAGTACATGTTTAAGAAATTAGAGCTAATAAGGAAAACTTAATAAATATCCAAATAAAGTTTAACAGAATACCGGAAGTCCTCAGTTAACAGCAGTCTCATTCAGCGACCATTTGAACTTACAACAGCACTGGAAAGCCAACAGGTAGCAAGTAGCATGTCACAATCATGTGACATTGTATTTATTAGCTATGGATGATTTGCTTAACAACGGCAATGAAACTGACATCATTGAGTCAGGTGTAGTTATGTGATGTTTCACTTAATGATTGCTTCAATTAGCAATGAACTTGCCAGTCATTAAATGAGGAATATTTGTAGAAGTGCTATATTTTATGTTTTAATTGAAACAGTGTGGTTACGAAATTACAAAAGCATCCAGAAATACTAATAATAGAAAAATGTTAATGGGAAGATAGATAAAGACAATGGTGTACCTGCTTTTCAGGAAAAGCTTATACACTATTGGAATAGAATCTTCTGATTTCAGACCTCTGTTTTGTGTTTTCTTGCTGGCTGTAGGAGTTGAGTACAACAGCATCATCTTTTAGTGGCTGGGTATATGATTGTGGCTAGGGTGGTATTAACACACTGAATTAGAGGACAGCAAAATATTATGGAATATTGTCACCACTGGATTTTCACTGGGAGAATTGTCTCTAAAAGTTTCTGCTTTTTGCATTGATGTTGACCATTCCCTTTAAAAATTGTTTTGGGTTTAACATTTATTGATGCCTAATATTTATTTACTTCTAATTTTAACTTGCTGATGCTGGTGCTTCAGCAAGTTGTTTCTGCTGTTGATTTATGTATTTTTATATTGTTTTTATATCTGCTGCAAAATATATATAGATGTCTTTGAATGTTGTAAAAGACGAGTTTATAATTGCTATGAACCCTTTAGAAAGTGACCTAAAATCCGGCCTATAATTTTGGACATAAATAAAAATAACACTTTTACAGGTATCCTACAGTTATGTTTTTCAAGCTTTTGTCTATGGATTATGAGTTTATAAACCTGCATTTCTTTAACAGAAACTAGTAAAGTGGACTATGTCCTTTTTCAAGCTGCCACAGCGATAATGGAAGCAGTTGTACGAGAATGGATTCTGTTGGAAAAAAGCAGTATAGAATCACTACGAACATTCCTTTTAACGTATGTCTTACAAAGGCCAAAGTAAGTACAGAGCATGATATAAAACATTTATAAAGTGTCATGAATAAGAACATTATATGCTTCCCAATTGAAATAAATAAAATAAATAAAATCCACATAATGAATTGGCTTCTGTTTTCATGGCCAAAGAAAACATAATTTACTGGTGGAGTCAGTGCTGCATACAAGGGGAAGTTTCTGTCCCTGAGATTTCCAGTTTAAAACATGTCAAAAGTAATGGAGAGACATTCTAGGATGATTCCAGAGACAATATTAATTGGAATAAAGAGCACTTGGTGTACGTCAGGGGTCCCCAACATATGGGCCGTGTCCTGGGCCTGGGCTGTGGGCTGTTGGCCAGCGGCCTGCAGAAATGGCTGGCTAGTGCACGCACGCGTGGGCATGCATTCCCCCCCACTTGCACTAGTGCCTGCGGCCCCGTTTGCACATGGGCGCAAGTGGGGATGCTAGCATGAGGCAAGTGTCCGTGGCCCGTTTGTGCATGTGCGAACGGGCTACCCACCGTGGGGGGGTGTGCGGCTGTTCCCCCTTGTGCACGGCACCAGTATATGCCGCATGCATGAACAGGGCTGCTAGTGCCACGCCAGTGTGCGTGGCCCCGTGCACGCGTGCACACATCCCCACCAATTTTGAAGCTGTTCTTCCCTTCGGTCCGCGAGCCCGGAAAGGTTGGAGACCTCTGGTGTACGTGATATAAAAGAACTTATGTTCACTTAGATGTTAGTAGTTGTTGTTGGTTGTTTGGACATCTGAGATTCTTTCTAGAAGTTGGTGTAAATTAGAAGGGATGTTTTCACACTTGGTAGGACCACTCTAAAAGTAACAGGACAGTCATATCCTCCTGGAGGTTTTGCTTATTGTGTTTTTGGTGTTCATTGATTCCTCTGTAGAAGCCCATCCATTGACTTAGAACTGTCTGTACAATGAGGGATATTGCATGAAAGGAGAGATTGCCCAAATTCAGTTGAAGCATTCTCCAATATAGATACAATTTGAGAGGGTTGTTCTGTGTTCCAGTGAAGCTTTGAATGATGCACAAGAGCAGCTTAAAGGAGGGAAGAAAAAAAAAAGAGTAAGATCTTTGTCTTTAAAGTAATATTGTCATCTTAGCCTTACATAAAATATGATTAATTAACGTATGCCTCTTCGTCTCATAGATATCATAATAGGCTTCTCAGAGCCTGAGAAAGAAGATGGCAATTTGCAAAATATTATTAAGTACAGAACAGTTGCATGTTTTTCCTTTATCAGGAAAACAGATAGCTGCTTCCCCTGCATTTCAGCGGTTAGTAAGCAAAAGGATCAAGAAAGCTCTATCTTAACAAACTTTGAAAATAAATTGGGTGCTCAAATAAACATATCCAGATGCTAAATTTTTATAATCAAATTCCATTTTTATTTCAATAAATACGATTAATCTTCCAAGAAAATGTTTGTTAACTATTTTAGTGAACTCCAGAAAGTGAAAAACCTGCTGCTGATTACAAATGGCAGTTTCAGCTATAACTGCTATGAATAAAAACATTAAAACAATTCCCTAAGTCTAAAAATACATTTGAAAGCCAATAAGCAAAATAGCTAACATTAGGGCTGAATCTACTTCCTGATTCAAATGAACAGGTGTAACCATTCTAGAATTTAATTCAGCCACATAAAACAGTTGGTTGTAAACAGCCATGAGATTTCCAGAGTCACTGTATAACAATTCAATAAATAAAAGTACAAACTGTGTCGTGAATATGAACTGTATACATTATTGTTGGAGATGTAACACAGGGGATGCTGCAGGATATGAACTGAATCTCGCCCCAAAACTAGATGTCCCCCTTTTCCCCCAATAGCCTCCTATGCCTAGAAGACCAGGTGGCATTTGGGGTTGGGAAATGTCAGTCTGACATTCATCCATTGCCTCTCCCTGACACTCTTCAGCCTCTCTGCAGAGGAGGAAAGAACCGGTTGTTCCACCCCTCCCTTAAATATGTAGTAAGAGACTACTTTTTCTGTGTTCATGGGAATTATCCTCAGCCTCTGGGTCAGAATAGGAATCTGCCCGAAGGTGTCAGAAGATGGGGCTTTCCTATTTCCATAAATTCTGCCTGCAAGGGGAATTTGTTTGCCTCCACTCAGAAAAAAATTAAATGCTAGGACAGTGAGGATGCTAAAGCCTAAATTAAAAGGCTGGCAGGCTACATCCCATCCACATGCCAGGGATTCCCTCTTCCTGGCTTATAAGAAAAACTATATTTAATTATCCTAACAATGCAAGATACCCAAACTCAAGGCAGCAGAAGACAAAAGAATTCTATACACAATTAGCCCAGTCCTTCCTGCTTTCTAAAAGCAGTACAACTAAGAAGAGTTTGTGTGTTCTTGCTTTGTAAACAATAACGTGGTCATCTTGATCAGTTCTGAATATATCTTATATTTTACTTTGCAGTCTCCAGAAATATGTGCGGGAACAGATATTATTAGCAGTAGCAGTAATAGTGAAACGAGGGTCTTTAGACAAATCAATTGACTGCAAGAGCATTTTTCATGAAGTCAGCCAGTTGATAAGCAGCGGCAATCACACAGTGGTAAGTTCTTATGTTTAAAAACATACATCTTTCTTTACATCTTCCTGGACATTTTTTTTCTGTCATTATATTAATTATTTACTTCTTGTAATAATTTAAATCTCCCTCCATCCCTGTGTCTTCCAAATCTGTTGGAATTGCTGTGTCCATTGAGCATTCTCAAGTTGTAGTTTGCAACACAGTTGGAAGCAAGGAGTTGAGGAAAAAAGGCATTAATTCAAAGAGATTCCCCATTCGGCTCCATGAGAAGATCAGACCCAAGCTGCTCAGAGGAGAAAGTTTGCCATTAAAAGGAAAAAAGAATAGGCAGCTACACAATATATTTAGCAACTGAAGGAGAACAATAAAATTACATTCTGTTATTCTGGCTCCAGTGGTATCGGTATGTTTGGATTCAACTTTGGCACTTAATTACAGCATAAATTGTTTTTGAGTCTCATATATTTTTGACTCCCCAGTCAAATTATTAAGTGATAGATACCCAGATAGATGTTGAGCACTGAATTGCCAAATTCGAAGTGTCATCGCTTTTTGTATCCAAATGGGTTTTCAATAGTTGTTAGAGATATTCTTGTGTTTGGTTTGGTTTACATCTGTTCCTTGTTGTGTTCTGTCTGTAAGTCAGCTGTTGGAATGGCCTGAGGGAAGACCTTCTCCATTCCCTGGGGAAGTGGCATGGTTGGGTAGAAGGGGTGTGTGCCGACTCAGAACTGAAGATGGCAATATAAAATTTACTCGTGTTACATTTTTAGAACCCGATGAGGAAATATCCTCCACCCTCTCATGAAGCTCTAAATAGAATTCCAGCACCTTATTTCCACTTGCGCCGTTAGTTCCAATTCCATATGCTGTGCCAGAAAATGTTCCACTCTGGAAATGCTTGCTAAAATCTTTGGTAGCTAAAATGGAATGATCTAAGAGAGCTTATCTGCAATAAAATGAAATTAATGCTATGTGTATAACAGCAACAAAATTTCTAAGAATAGAACAACAGACATGTCACAGTGCTAAAAAAAATTGTACAGATATTTATAAAATCCTTTACCTGAAATGATGACAACTTCAACTTTATTTTAATAAAGTGTGAGTATTGGTCAGCCATTTGATTAGTTTAAACCTTTCCCTACTTTGTGCCTACTAGACGTACTATGTTTTAAGTCTCATTGGAAGACTAGGATAAGGTTGGTATTCATACTTACGCTGTTTCTCCTTCCATCTGTTTCAATTCTGACCAAGGGAAACTAGTAGCTGTCAGGTTATTCAACTCCAAATCTGTCTTATGTTCCCATGTTGAGTTTCCATGTGTCCATTCTCCTTTTGATCAGCAGAGCCCAGTTCTTTCTGTTCCAACTTTCCTTCTCTTTCCACCGTTCAATGACCTGATCACGTTCATTTTATTACAGTTCCTACTTTTTTGCAATTCATTTGGCAATTCAGGAACATATTTCTTTTTTTAAAAAATCAAGCCTTGCCAAATAATTACTTGTAATTATTTGACTTATGCAGGCCTCTGTTCTAACAGCGTTTTAATCATTCTAAATTTCAGGGTCTATTTTTAAGCCTTGACAGTTATTTTATGTATGCATGCATATATTCCTTCTCCCAGGCAAAACTTTATTTATTTTATTTATTTATACAAAGTTACCTGGCATTTTTCTTTTTTCTTTTTATTTTTTTACGAATCAAGTCGTGACCAGTTGGGTTTCCTTTCAGAAGTATTTCCTTACCTAAGCAGAGAAATAGAATTGCCAGGACCAGGCAAAAAAGCAATGGGAACAGAAGCAAATTCGAACTTCCTGCCATTTTTCCCATTGTCTTTACTTATAGAAGCTAATTGGGACCATTGGTAATTATCATCATTTAACAGCAGATGACTATTGCAGCACTGAACCACCCACAACTTTGCCAAATTTCAATCCCAAAGGATTTATGGGTTAGGATTTACTTAGCTCATTTGAAATAGCATTAATTAAAAAAAAATTGCCCAATTGAAGCTTACAAAATAATCAAACAGATACAAGAGTTATAGTATTATATAGATTCCCTCTTCAGGCAGTATAATAAATAAATATAATACAGATATTCTTCGTCTTACAACTACAACTGAGCCCAAAATTTCTGTTGCTATGTGAGACAGTTATTTATTGAGTTTTGCCCCATTTTACGACCTTAATTGCCACCAATGATGTGAATTACTGCAGTTCTTCAGTTAGTAACACAGTTGTGAAGTGAGTCTAACTTCCCCATTGACTTTGCTTGTCAAAAGGTCACAAAAGGTGATCACATGACTCCAGAACATTGCAACCGTCGTAAATATAAGTCAGTTGCCAAGCATTTGAATTTTGATCAAATGATTATGGGGATGCTACAAAGGTCATAAGTGTGAAAAATGGTCATAAGTCACTTTTTTCAGTGCCATTGTAACTTTGAATGGTCACTAAATGAACTGTTGTAAGTCGAGGACTACCTGTAATAATTCTAATGAATGAAATATCTAGAATTCTTTTTAATGGGGATTTGTAACCCAAACACTTAAGATATAGCCTCTTTGTGAAGGAAAGAAAATCAGTCAACCTGCATGCCTAGAAGTTACATAGGACATCTCTATTGTCTATTTGTTATAACTGGGGGAAAAAAATTTTTAGAGCTGAATGAATTTTATCATGTCACATTTTTTTCTCCTAAGATTTTTTTTCATCTTTCAAGGACTTGGATAGGGTGAGTGCATGGACTGAGAGAAGAGAAAGAATTATTTATTGATGAGATACTTAGAATTAACTCGGTAGCAGATGGCAGAAGTCCTAGATTTATATTTTGCAAGTAGTAGAGGTAGACAGATTTATTAAAAATGGACACAACCATCTATGGCATAGAGTCAAGTTGAAAAATTTTCCCTTTACTGACTTGGGACTGAAAAGTGAGTTTTATCACTCATGAAGTGGTCAATCAAAATAATAACTTTAATTTTCAACACTTAGAAAGCAGTTCCATACTACACAAACTCTGGAATATTATTCACAAAGACATTACTGCCAAGTATGTAATATTTCTATTGTACATTTATCTTTACATGTCAGCTTTTTATTCTGTGAATTCAAGATGACATACATAGTTCCTTCCTTACCATTTTATCCTCACAACATTTTTATAAGGCTAGGAGTTAACAGTTACTGAGTTGCTGCATCTCAGTAGAATTGTCTGCTCTGCCATAGTGTAATGCCACTCTCTTTCTTAGAATCGAAGCTGAGCAAACTGTTTTAACATGCAAACATTTGATTGAGTTAAATTTGATAGTGCTAAGACCTGGTGCAGACTGCCTGTTTATGATCCCTTGGCAAGAGACCTATATGTATAATTGATTGGTTGATTATGTGCCATCAGATTGCATTGACTATTAGTGACTTCATAGATTTTCTCCTTGGCAATCTGCTTTTATATACAACTGGTGATATTTAGTAAATAGTAATCTACATTTAGCAAAGTATAAAAAATATTTTAATTACTCACTGAGACAACGCAAGTAAGGCACTCCTAGAACATGATTTTATCTTAGGGAACTGATTCCATACCTTTAGTACCTTTTCCCAGTATAGCCAACATTGGTCTCTGATGGACAGAGCTTCTGCTAAAAAGCCAATTACTAATTTTAGTCTGCTTAATTCATGTTTTCCACCACTGATTCCAAGATGCTGAGGAAATGTATGTAGAATAAATTCCACTTAACCACAAATGCCTGCAGCTCATTGGTGCTGGACCTCAATACAGAATTCTCTTTTCTACTTTAGCTATTTTGAAAGATACCCCGTTCTGAGACCTGGAGTGTAACTTTATTTTGTGTGTGTGTGTATGACTGTGTGAACTTTCAGCTGCCAGTGGGGCTGCCTCATATTAATATATAAAAATATTCTGTTCAACAACTTGTCAAGTGTTGTTTCTAATGTGTTCACTGAGTTATGTATGCCTGGAGGTCTTCACTGAAAGAAGGTAAACATGTTCACCATGAGCTGTGCAAAATAAAAGAGTTGGGTAAATTAGCTGTTTGTTAAAAACTGCATGAATTTAAAAACGGATCATACTTCCATCTTACCCCTGCACACAACAAAGCGAAATCCAAAAGGGATATAAAAAAGATGCTGATATGTCCTCATCCCTGGTTTATATTTGACACCATTAGTCTTTATGTTTTTGCACTGTTAACTTTTTTGTATGTTTTACAATTAGGCATGCCGAGTTTGTTTCTGCCTATAACAGTGATGGCAAACCTTTTAGAGACCGAGTGCCCAAACTGCAACCCAAAATTCACTTATGCATCGTTGGGTGCCGGGTGGGTGTGGCCCATTGGCTGGGCGTGGCCCATTGGGTGGGCATGGCTGCGGTGGTAACGGCAGACTGGTTGGGACTAAAAAGTTCAATCAATCAATTCCAACCTTGCAAGATCTTTTTTTCCCACGAGAAGTTGAAATTGACTGATTGAACCTTTTTTTTTTTTGCACACGGCGGTGGAGGCCTAAAGTGAAAAGGTTTTATAAAACCCAGCTGAAGGCCTAGGACTGGGGCGACGGTGCACGTGCCCACAGAGAGGGCTCTGAGTGCCGCCTCTGGCACCCGTGCCATAGGTTCGCCACCACTGGCCTATAATATAAGATAAAACCCAAGAAATTTTTTAAAAACTAAAAAGTTAAAAAAGATTAAAGTGATTGCAAAGAGCAGGATTTCTTCAGCTCTGTCAAAGACTATTAAATCATTTGCATGCCATAAGAAGGAGCAATACAAATATCCTTTATGCTAATTACATTTAATATAATACAAATCACTTTTGAAGATCCAGAAAAGGTTGGTTATATAAACGTAATAGTAAACTAGTATCCCAAGTTCAAAATACCACATTTTTAAAATTCAGTAACTATTGTTTATAGCAGTGATGGCGAACCTGTGGCATGCGTGCCAGAGGCGGCACTCAGAGCCCTCTCTGTGGGCACGCGCGCCATGCCCCAGAGATG